ACCTATCAACCTCTGGAGGGTTGTTAAGGCCTCCACAACAACTTACTGACCAAGCCTTACTGATGACTAGAACTCCAAGACTATAATTCAAAATGTACGATAATAATTATACACTGGAACATGTTATAGCGGTGTATTAGCCGGTACCTAAATTATATATTGTATAATGATATCTTATCGACGAAGCTTTTTGATATCGACCCCTGAACTCTACCCAGTTGTGCTTGTGGGGGGGGGGGGTTGAGCTCTGGCTCTTTGGTCCCGTTCTATGTTATCAACATTCATATATATATTTTTTTTTCCTAAAACATATGTACCCATAGATCTCTGGTACGTTTAGACTCGTCAGTTGCAATATTGCACAGCTATTGCCACTCGTGAAACATCTGTGGCCGCGATATTACCACGAGTGTAGCCGGGTGTTGGTGTGTAGGTCTATGGTTTTTGAGTTTTTTTGTACCGTCGATAATTAGTAGTTAAGTTTTATTATACTTTTTTTATCCTAGATTGATACAAGAATGAAGTTTTTATGCAAAATTTATAGCAAAAAAATATTCAAAGAACTATTTTATCTTCCATCATTGCCTATTATTTTTTTGTTTTTTTTTGATAATGAGAGAGATATGTCTTCCTATTTTCTTATTAAATTTCACCTAATAAACTGTTGTGTGTGAGATATATAGCAATCTTGGGCAACCCGTCCTCCTGTTTAGGTAGTGTTTTATGCAACTATTTGCACCATCGTACATATATTGCCGTACTGTCCCGTTTTCTGTTTTGGGTCCTCCGGTAGGATTAGGATCAGTTAGGGTACTTTAGTCCGACGGTTTCTAGACGTTGGGCCAAACATTACGAGGACGGAGAGGTTTGCAAGCATGAGGTGGTAACAACATTCCTTCAACTCCCTGCAATACCTCCCCCCTCGGCCTTGACGGGGGAGAGGAGAGAGGGGGGGGACTCTGGCGCCTGACAACACAATGTTGTTATTTCCGAGGGAAGTTTGTAAATTTTATGATAGTTTACGCCTTTAAATTATAGAAAATGGATGTTATTATATCTCCCTGACGTGCTTTTTCTTTGGTTTAAGATAGTTTAGGGGAGACTGTCTTAGACTGTCTTGAGAGGGCCCCCGAAGGCTTGTTATCTAGAGCTGTGACGTGTTGGTCATCACGACAGTCTTCTGGGATCTTAACAACGTCTTCAGAGGAGGAAGGAGGGTGTTATATACCGTGGAGGCGTCAATAATCCTCCTCCCTCCCTCCCGGAAATCCATTCCCTCAATCCCCTCCTCAAAATCCCCCTTAATCCCCTCTCTCCTCCCCACCATCAGCCCCCCTCACCCCTCCAACAATCACTACTTCCTCTCTCCCCTCCTCTCTCCTGCCGCCACTTATCTTGCACAACTTTTCCAGTCGCGTCCCAAAAGTGCTGTGTCCGTTGCCTCAACGACCCTAGCAGGTATATTACCCCGCTGGTAGAAGAGCTGCTTCCTGTTGTCCGTGTAATGATACACCAGACTGTGGTGTCTGGTGCGTGGAACGTCAGATAATACGACGCGAGACCGCGGTTCGAGGCCTTCAACTACACAAGCTAAAACCTCCTTGGAAACCGAGTTGAAGCGGTTTCCAAGGCCCCGTACGCAGTGTTCGCTTGGAGGTCCAGGTACACTAATCACGTATATGAGACCCACTCTCGTGTATGCAGTCCTGGCCACCACCCAGGACAATAAACATAACAGACACCATTTTGACATAAAAGCTTCAAAGGAGAATTACATTTCCACTACACATAAGGGACATAACTGGCCGACCCCTCACAGTGTTCAAGAGAGAACTATCAACATCAGAGGCCCGAGACTGTTCAACACGCTTCCACTACACATAAGGGACATAACTGGCCGACCCCTCACAGTGTTCAAGAGAGAACTATCAACATCAGAGGCCCGAGACTGTTCAACACGCTTCCACTACACATAAGGGACATAACTGGCCGACCCCTCACAGTGTTCAAGAGAGAACTATCAACATCAGAGGCCCGAGACTGTTCAACACGCTTCCACTACACATAAGGGACATAACTGGCCGACCCCTCACAGTGTTCAAGAGAGAACTATCAACATCAGAGGCCCGAGACTGTTCAACACGCTTCCACTACACATAAGGGACATAACTGGCCGACCCCTCACAGTGTTCAAGAGAGAACTATCAACATCAGAGGCCCCGAGACTGTTCAACACGCTTCCACTACACATAAGGGACATAACTGGCCGACCCCTCACAGTGTTCAAGAGAGAACTATCAACATCAGAGGCCCCGAGACTGTTCAACACGCTTCCACTACACATAAGGGACATAACTGGCCAACCCCTCACAGTGTTCAAGAGAGAACATGATAAACACCTCCAAAGGATACCTGATCAACCAGGCTGTGACTCATACGTCAGCATGCGGGCATCCGCGTCCAACAGCCTGGTTGATCAGACCGCGAACTAGGAGGAAGGCATTTGTCTTCTATAATCTCTGTTCATCTTAAGGGAGGAATCACATAGGGTATTTAGTTTCCTTTCTCCAACAACCATTTTAATAATTTATAAATGTTCCGAAAACTGATTTTAAAACTTAGTTCGCCTAACCTAACTTAACCTAACCTATCTGACCTTTGCTGAATTTTAGCTAACCTTACCTAACTAACCTACCTAACCTAACCTTACCTACTTAACCAAACCTTACCTAGCCTAACTTTTCTAATCTTACCTAGCCTAACCTTACCTAACCCTATATAGCCTAACCTAACCTTACCTAACCCTACATAGCCTAACCTAACCCAACCTAACCTAAAGTAACTTAACCTAACCTTGCCTAACTTACCTAACCTAACCTAACAATATATAAGGAATCTAAAGGAATCTAGAGGAAGAAACATAAAAGATGAAACTCCATGCAACCTCTGAAGAGACAACTAACACAACCTATTAATAATAATTAATACACAACCTAATACCCCCTATTAGACTATTTTACAGGAACTTCTTTTCCACAGCTCATAAAACGGAGGAAAGGGTCCTGAAAGATATTGTTAATAGAAATGTTATCCCTACAGATACAAACTAGATGATATAATAGATAATTTACTACAAAAACAAGAAAATGGTCAATCTACTCATGAAAAACTCTCCAGACACAAAGCAGAACGCTTTAAAAGAGACCAACGTCGTCTATGCCTTCAAATGCCCTCTTGGGGACTGTAAGCTCCAAAAATCACAGTATATAGGCAAGACAACAACGTCTCTTTCTAGGCGATTAACAATGCACAAACAACAGGGCTATCTTGAGGTTATCTTGACTTGATTTCGGGGCTTTAGTGTCCCCGCGGCCCGGTCCTAGACCAGGCCTCCACCCCCAGGAAGCAGTCCGTGACAGCTGACTAACTCCCAGGTACCTATTTACTGCTAGGTAACAGGGGCATTCAGGGTGAAAGAAACTTTGCCCATTTGTTTCTGCCTCGTGCGGGAATCGAACCCGCGCCACAGAATTACGAGTCCTGCGCGCTATCCACCAGGCTACGAGGCCCTCTAGAGTTAGGGCTCCATTAAGGAACATATAATCTCTTCTCACAACCAGACCATCACCAGAGAAGTCTTAACAAGCAACACAGAAATCATCGACAGATATAACGATAACAGGAGACTCGACATCTGTGAGGCACTACACATCAAAAAGTCAAAACCAGCAATCAACAGCCAATTAACACATAATTACATTCTACTACGAATATAAGCACGATCTGAATAAGTAAAAAAAAGAGTTACAGCCCCGCTCCTGTGCCAGGTAAGTCCACTATGGGATCGCCATAGCCCGTGCTACTTGGAACATTTTGTTCCGAGTAGCTGAATCTTAAACAACAGGTAAAAGAATTGTTTTTGAAAATGTAAGAAGTCTTCTTGCGAAACGCTTCTAGGCGTCAGACCATAAATTAAAAAGTGGAAATGAACTTTGGAGAGTTAATTTTTCAATTACTCCCTAACAGTGAAGAAAAACATCAGAAATATTGAGAAGATTCGTGTTAGAATCATTAATCTTTCCCTTTCGGTCATATTCAACAACACATGTTTACAAGAAAGACTGCTACCAAAATATACTGATATATATTCTGTCTCTGTCTTTGTCTCTCTCTCTGTCTCTCTCTCTCTCTCTGTCTCTCTCTCTCTCTCTCTCTCTGTCTCTCTCTCTCTCTCTCTCTCTCTCTCTCTCTCTCTCTCTCTCTCTCTCTCTCTCTGTCTCTCTCTCTCTCTCCACCGTCCACACCGGTATTAGAGCGTATGATCGTGGACGTCCTACCAACCACAACAGCTGCAGTGAACATAACAATATCATCACAGACTCCCCCTACTCCCCCCACCAATCAAAATCAGCCGTAATCGCCTTTCCCACCAAACATGTACAAAAAAACACACACAAAACAGTAATGTTTTTGTCCCAAAAAAATGCATTTGTTTACAACGCGTCTGAGAGTATTTGTAAGTTATCGTACATCGGGCGAGCGTGTTACTCTCTGAGGGTTGGTGGCTGTTTTTGTTGCTTGTTTGCCTATACGAGTCGTTAATTGAGGGTCGTTCGCCTCACGGATTATAAAATGCATCTTTTAAAATCTATGCAGGTAAGGGCATGAGCCCTGAGGCGTTGCAATATGCGAATATTGCATAAATGCAAAGGGGAGAACAGATAGCACTATCTGGCAACTACCCTCTTCCTCTCTAACTTCATAAAATCTTCAACAATGATATTATTAAAGTTCTATGCCACCGCTGGCCATTGCAAGCGTCTATGCAATGTCCCCCACCCCCTTGCAACCTGGCGATTGATAAGCCTGTTGCAGAGAGGAGGGGGAGGGAGTTGGCGTATGGGAGATATGACTGAGAGAGAGAGAGAGAGACAGGAGATGGAAGCTAGGAACTCTGGCAGCAGTAAGAGGGTCTCTGGTACACACACACACATACACAGAGAGGTTTCTCTTGCTACTCAGTCAGTGGCTGGCTGGGATCTGGCCCTCGCATGTGTGTGCCGGGGATCGAACCCGGAGTGTTTGACACCCTGTGGTGTATTATATATATACATATATGTTAAGCTTTAATCGGTGTTGCTGTGTTGTGTGTGTGTGTGTGTACGAGCGTTCAAGAGCCCTATATATATATATATATATATATATATATATATATATATATATATATATATATATACAATTGCGTTCTGTTCTATGTGAGTTTTGCAGAATTAGACTCTGAAATCGGTATGTTCAGATTTTAGAAACCCAAAAATCGTGCAGCTATTCGATTATGGGAACGCGGAAATTCTCTCGCGACTGAGAAATTTGTGAGAAAATAACATGACATTTGGATTTTAAGCACTATATACATGGTCAGTGGGTTCAGGTGTGTGCGTGCATGTGTGTGTGTGTGTGATGGCAGTGGGGGGAGGAGGCCCCACACCTCCCCCCTGAAGCTAGTTAAGCTTCCTGCGCTGTTACCAACCAGTAGTGAACCAGGCAACAAGCAGAACAGTCCAGGACCCTTAGTACTGTGCAGAAACCTAATTCCCAAAGCTAAGAAATTTAGCTTTTTCCGCTGAAAATATCTGTATGTGATGAAATACTTTAGTGGTAATTATTTCCCAAGTGAAGCAAAGTGTCCAAATTGTTTCAAAGCTCTCAAATAACCCACAAAAAAGATATTTGTACAATATTATCATTACTGTGCAAGTCATATTAAGCTCTAGGGGCCCCAGGAAATCCACGTTGCAATATAGCCTCTCTATATTAATTCCTCAAAGAGATTTATTTACCATTTCAACCACATCTGGATATTGGAAGATATCAGTTTCCCCCTCACATTGTCGTATGTTGATTTGAGGATTTCCTTTGCAACAGAACATGGAACAAGAGGTTCCCAGCGGATCTAGCAAAGGGTTCTAGCAAGTCATAGCTGTGATACAACGCACGCAGGATCTCAAACCGCCACGTCACTGCTTAAGTCTGTGATATGACTCTGCAATTCTAGCTTGGGAGGACTTCGGGGCCGGCGGGCTTCCACGCACACGCACGCACACACACACGCACACACACGCACGCACACACACACCTTTGTTTTTTGCTGGTTCTGAAGCCGCCTGAAGGTATTGTGGAGTGCATTCAACCCTTGATCATGTGCTGTGCTGTGTGATCTGTTGGTGCTGTGTGGTCTGTTGGTGCTGTGGGGTGTGTTGGTGCTGTGTGATGTGTTGGTGCTGTGTGATCTGTTGGTGCTGTGTGATCTGTTGGTGCTGTGTGATCTGTTGGTGCTGTGGGGTGTGTTGGTGCTGTGTGATGTGTTGGTGCTGTGTGGTGTGTTGGTGCTGTGTGGTGTGTTGGTGCTGTGTGATCTGTTGGTGCTGTGTGATCTGTTGGTGCTGTGTGATCTGTTGGTGCTGTGTGATCTGTTGGTGCTGTGTGGTGTGTTGGTGCTGTGTGATCTGTTGGTGCTGTGTGGTCTGTTGGTGCTGTGTGATCTGTTGGTGCTGTGTGATCTGTTGTGTGTTGGTGCTGTGTGATCTGTTGGTGCTGTGTGGTGTGTTGGTGCTGTGTGATCTGTTGGTGCTGTGTGTGTCTGTTGGTGCTGTGTGGTGTGTTGGTGCTGTGTGATCTGTTGGTGTGTGGTGTGTTGGTGCTGTGTGGTGTGTTGGTGCTGTGTGATCTGTTGGTGTGTGCTGTGGTGTGTTGGTGCTGTGTGATCTGTTGGTGCTGTGTGGTGTGTTGGTGCTGTGTGATCTGTTGGTGCTGTGTGGTCTGTTGGTGCTGTGTGGTGTGTTGGTGCTGTGTGGTGTGTTGGTGCTGTGTGTGTGTGTTGGTGCTGTGTGATCTGTTGGTGCTGTGTGGTGTGTTGTGCTGTGTGATCTGTTGGTGCTGTGGGTGTGTTGGTGCTGTGTGGTGTGTTGGTGCTGTGGGGTGTGTTGGTGCTGTGTGGTGTGTTGGTGCTGTGTGATCTGTTGGTGCTGTGTGGTGTGTTGGTGCTGTGTGATCTGTTGGTGCTGTGTGATCTGTTGGTGCTGTGTGGTGTGTTGGTGCTGTGTGATCTGTTGGTGCTGTGTGGTGTGTTGGTGCTGTGTGGTGTGTTGGTGCTGTGTGGTGTGTTGGTGCTGTGTGGTGTGTTGGTGCTGTGTGATCTGTTGGTGCTGTGTGGTGTGTTGGTGCTGTGTGATGTGTTGGTGCTGTGTGATCTGTTGGTGCTGTGTGGTGTGTTGGTGCTGTGGGGTGTGTTGGTGCTGTGTGATCTGTTGGTGCTGTGTGGTGTGCTGGTGCTGTGTGGTGTGTTGGTGCTGTGTGATCTGTTGGTGCTGTGTGGTCTGTTGGTGCTGTGTGGTGTGTTGGTGCTGTGTGGTGTGTTGGTGCTGTGTGGTGTGTTGGTGCTGTGTGGTCTGTTGGTGCTGTGTGGTCTGTTGGTGCTGTGTGATCTGTTGGTGCTGTGTGATCTGTTGGTGCTGTGTGGTGTGTTGGTGCTGTGTGGTGTGTTGGTGCTGTGGGGTGTGTTGGTGCTGTGTGATGTGTTGGTGTTGTGTGGTCTGTTGGTGCTGTGTGGTGTGTTGGTGCTGTGTGGTGTGTTGGTGCTGTGTGATCTGTTGGTGCTGTGTGATCTGTTGGTGCTGTGTGATCTGTTGGTGCTGTGTGATCTGTTGGTGCTGTGTGGTGTGTTGGTGCTGTGTGATCTGTTGGTGCTGTGTGATCTGTTGGTGCTGTGTGGTGTGTTGGTGCTGTGTGGTGTGTTGGTGCTGTGTGGTGTGTTGGTGCTGTGTGGTGTGTTGGTGCTGTGTGATCTGTTGGTGCTGTGTGATCTGTTGGTGCTGTGTGGTGTGTTGGTGCTGTGTGGTGTGTTGGTGCTGTGTGGTGTGTTGGTGCTGTGTGGTGTGTTGGTGCTGTGTGGTGTGTTGGTGCTGTGTGGTGTGTTGGTGCTGTGTGGTGTGTTGGTGCTGTGTGGTGTGTTGGTGCTGTGTGGTGTGTTGGTGCTGTGTGGTGTGTGTTGGTGCTGCTGTGTGATCTGTTGGTGCTGTGTGGTGTGTGGTGGTGCTGTGTGGTGTGTTGGTGCTGTGTGGTGTGTTGGTGCTGTGTGGTGTGTTGGTGCTGTGTGTGCTGTGTTGGTGCTGTGTGTGGTGTGTTGGTGCTGTGTGGTGTGTTGGTGCTGTGTGGTGTGTTGGTGCTGTGTGGTGTGTTGGTGCTGTGTGGTGTGTTGGTGCTGTGTGTGTGTGTTGGTGCTGTGTGGTGTGTTGGTGCTGTGTGGTGTGTTGGTGCTGTGTGGTGCTGTTGGTGCTGTGTGCTGTGTGTTGGTGCTGTGTGGTGTGTTGGTGCTGTGTGGTGTGTTGGTGCTGTGTGGTGTGTTGGTGCTGTGTGGTGTGTTGGTGCTGTGTGGTGTGTTGGTGCTGTGTGGTGTGTTGGTGCTGTGTGGTGTGTTGGTGCTGTGTGGTGTGTTGGTGCTGTGTGGTGTGTTGGTGCTGTGTGGTGTGTGTGTGTTGTGCTGTGTGTGTTGGTGCTGTGTGGTGTGTTGGTGTGTGTGGTGTGTTGGTGCTGTGTGGTGTGTTGGTGCTGTGTGGTGTGTTGGTGCTGTGTGGTGTGTTGGTGCTGTGTGGTGTGTTGGTGCTGTGTGGTGTGTTGGTGCTGTGTGGTGTGTTGGTGCTGTGTGGTGTGTTGGTGCTGTGTGGTGTGTTGGTGTGTGTGGTGTGTTGGTGTTGTGTGGTGTGTTGGTGCTGTGTGGTGTGTTGGTGCTGTGTGGTGTGTTGGTGCTGTGTGGTGTGTTGGTGCTGTGTGGTGTGTTGGTGCTGTGTGGTGTGTTGGTGCTGTGTGATCTGTTGGTGCTGTGTGATCTGTTGGTGCTGTGTGGTCTGTTGGTGCTGTGTGGTGTGTTGGTGCTGTGTGATCTGTTGGTGCTGTGTGATCTGTTGGTGCTGTGTGGTCTGTTGGTGCTGTGTGATGTGTTGGTGCTGTGTGATCTGTTGGTGCTGTGTGATCTGTTGGTGCTGTGGGGTGTGTTGGTGCTGTGTGGTGTGTTGGTGCTGTGTGGTGTGTTGGTGCTGTGTGATCTGTTGGTGCTGTGTGATCTGTTGGTGCTGTGGGGTGTGTTGGTGCTGTGTGATCTGTTGGTGCTGTGTGGTGTGTTGGTGCTGTGTGGTGTGTTGGTGCTGTGTGGTGTGTTGGTGGTGTGTGGTGTGTTGGTGCTGTGTGGTGTGTTGGTGCTGTGTGATCTGTTGGTGCTGTGTGGCCACCTGTTGGGGCTGTGTGGCCTCCTGTTGGTGCTGTGTGGCCTCCTGTTGGTGCTGTGTGGCCTCCTGTTGGTGCTGTGTGGCCTCCTGTTGGTGCTGTGTGGCCTCCTGTTGGTGCTATGTGGCCTCCTGTTGGTGCTATGTTGCCTCCTGTTGGTGCTGTGTTGTCTCCTGTTGGTGCTGTGTGGCCTCCTGTTGGTGCTGTGTGGCCTCCTGTTGGTGCTGTGTGGTCTCCTGTTGGTGCTGTGTGGCCTCCTGTTGATAGGTCTTAATAACCCTCCAGAGGTTGACAGGCCTTAATAACCCTCCAGAGGTTGATAGGCCTTAATAACCCTCCAGAGGTTGATAGGTCTTAATAACCCTCCAGAGGTTGATAGGTCTTAATAACCCTCCAGAGGTTGATAGGTCTTAATAACCCTCCAGAGGTTGATAGGCCTTAATAACCCTCCAGAGGTTGATAGGCCTTAATAACCCTCCAGAGGTTGATAGGCCTTAATAACCCTCCAGAGGTTGATAGGCCTTAATAACCCTCCAGAGGTTGATAGGCCTTAATAACCCTCCAGAGGTTGATAGGTCTTAATAACCCTCCAGAGGTTGATAGGTCTTAATAACCCTCCAGAGGTTGATAGGTCTTAATAACCCTCCAGAGGTTGATAGGCCTTAATAACCCTCCAGAGGTTGATAGGCCTTAATAACCCTCCAGAGGTTGATAGGTCTTAATAACCCTCCAGAGGTTGATAGGTCTTAATAACCCTCCAGAGGTTGATAGGCCTTAATAACCCTCCAGAGGTTGATAGGCCTTAATAACCCTCCAGAGGTTGATAGGCCTTAATAACCCTCCAGAGGTTGATAGGTCTTAATAACCCTCCAGAGGTTGATAGGCCTTAATAACCCTCCAGAGGTTGATAGGTCTTAATAACCCTCCAGAGGTTGATAGGTCTTAATAACCCTCCAGAGGTTGATAGGCCTTAATAACCCTCCAGAGGTTGATAGGCCTTAATAACCCTCCAGAGGTTGATAGGCCTTAATAACCCTCCAGAGGTTGATAGGTCTTAATAACCCTCCAGAGGTTGATAGGTCTTAATAACCCTCCAGAGGTTGATAGGCCTTAATAACCCTCCAGAGGTTGATAGGCCTTAATAACCCTCCAGAGGTTGATAGGTCTTAATAACCCTCCAGAGGTTGATAGGCCTTAATAACCCTCCAGAGGTTGATAGGCCTTAATAACCCTCCAGAGGTTGATAGGCCTTAATAACCCTCCAGAGGTTGATAGGTCTTAATAACCCTCCAGAGGTTGATAGGCCTTAATAACCCTCCAGAGGTTGATAGGCCTTAATAACCCTCCAGAGGTTGATAGGCCTTAATAACCCTCCAGAGGTTGATAGGCCTTAATAACCCTCCAGAGGTTGATAGGCCTTAATAACCCTCCAGAGGTTGATAGGTCTTAATAACCCTCCAGAGGTTGATAGGTCTTAATAACCCTCCAGAGGTTGATAGGCCTTAATAACCCTCCAGAGGTTGATAGGCCTTAATAACCCTCCAGAGGTTGATAGGCCTTAATAACCCTCCAGAGGTTGATAGGCCTTAATAACCCTCCAGAGGTTGATAGGCCTTAATAACCCTCCAGAGGTTAATAGGCCTTAATAACCCTCCAGAGGTTGATAGGCCTTAATAACCCTCCAGAGGTTGATAGGCCTTAATAACCCTCCAGAGGTTAATAGGCCTTAATAACCCTCCAGAGGTTGATAGGCCTTAATAACCCTCCAGAGGTTGATAGGTCTTAATAACCCTCCAGAGGTTGATAGGCCTTAATAACCCTCCAGAGGTTGATAGGTCTTAATAACCCTCCAGAGGTTGATAGGCCTTAATAACCCTCCAGAGGTTGATAGGCCTTAATAACCCTCCAGAGGTTGATAGGTCTTAATAACCCTCCAGAGGTTGATAGGCCTTAATAACCCTCCAGAGGTTGATAGGTCGTGAATATAGACAAAGATAAACTATTTATATATATATATATATATATATATATATATATATATATATATATATATATATATATATATATATATATATATATATATATATATATATATATATATTCATTAATTCATATGACTTTAATATCTTGTAGAAATTAGCCTTGAAAAGCTGTACAAATGGAACTATTCACAGTGAACTAGAGTGAACTCTGCTTAATATGGACGGAAATAAGTCTCCACTGTACGTGGTGCTCTAGAGTGGAATGTGTTTAATATGGACGAAAATAAAGGAGTCTCCGCTGTTCTTTCTAAGGTAAGACTGACGTATATATGATAAAATTTTGCTATATTATATATTATATCACATTTGACGTATAGTTCAGATACCTATTCATTCCCTCTCTATTTCGCTCATAAGGAATCACTGAAACTTCTAAGTAAGTCTAAGGACAGCACAACAAATATTTCAGACTTTATTGCAGAAAGTGTGGCACCGCTGTACGTCAGCAGTAAATAGGTACCTGGGAGTTAGTCAGCTGTCACGGGCTGCTTCCTGGGGGGGTGGAGGCCTGGTCGAGGACCGGGCCGCCGCGGGGACACTAAAGCCCCGAAATCATCTCGAGATAACCTCAAGATTTAATGATAACTGGAGCAGACTCCTCGCCTGACCTACGACACGCCCATACCCCACATGTTTCATAAGTGAAAGTTGGGGGGAGGCTAACCCCAGGCGTCTGGCCTCAATCCTTCAAATGACAGATAGATATTTTCTGTTCTATTAGACCGTTTAAGTCAGAAAAAACGATGAACTTGTGTAAAACTGCGACCATGAACACACACGCGTCGAATCGTCTGGAAGAAACAATGTTTTTGCAGGCCAAAAATAGCAGTATGAAAACATTTTGGCTACAATTGATTGTACTGGGACACACGTCTGTCGTTCCCCTTTCGTTGTAAACAAGGACACTAGCCCATGCCTATCCATCCTAAAATAACAGAACATAAAAATGTCCCGTTGGTACAATGTATACTAATGAGGTTAGTCCCCCGAAAAATCACGTTTTCTATTCTTGAATTAGCCCGAGAGGAATTCAAAGAAAATAGACAAGTACTTGAAACTCCAAACTTTTTAATCTACCTAAATTTTTTTAGGCCTAATATAATACATATATGTGCTATACTAGGCTTGGGAATGTTGAAATATAAAATTTTATTTTGTATTTATACTTGAAACACACAAAAAACTGTACAGTAAGCTCATAAAGCTATACACACATAGTATTTCAATTCCAAACACGAACAAAAATGATCTATTTCTCAGTCAAAAAGCCCCCCCCCCCCCATTCCCTAGAGGTCTGACGGCTGAGTGGACAGCGCTAGGGATTCGCAGTCCTTAGATTCCGAGTTCGATCCCCCAGCGGAAACAAATGGGCAGAGTTGCTTTCCCCCTCCTGATGCCCCTGTTCACCTAGCAGTAAATAGGTACCTGGGAGTTAGACAGCTGCTACGGGCTGCTGCTTCCTGGGGGTGTGTAACAAAAAGGAGGCCTGGTCGAGGACCGGGCCGCGGGGACGCTAAGCCCCGAGATCATCTTAAGATAACCTATAGGTACGTCACTGCCTTACAAGTTTTAAATAATGTATAACCGGTCATGTATAATGTATAAGCCTTAACCTGGCTTACATAATACATTAACTAGTTACATATCATTCAGGGAGGCAATATATATACAATTAATACAATGGAGTCATACAATATGCAAATAAGCAGTCGTATTAGGCTATAAACTTAGTCAATAAGGAGTCAGATAAATGACATAAAATAGAGTAAATGTAAAATAAGCAAAAACACGGACGATACAACAACAGGAACGATACAACAGGGACGATACAACAGGGACGATACAACAGGGACGATACAACAGGGACGATACAACAGGGACGATACAACAGAATAAAACATGGAGCTAGGTGAGGCATCAAGGAAGGGGGGGGTGATGATGGAAGGGGGGTAGACTCATCAAAACAGTGTGTGTGTACCATGACTATGAGGAACTGTTGATGAGGCGTCCCAGTCATTGCTGCGTCACTGTAGCTCCCCCTCCCACGCCGCCCCCCCTCTCTCTCTCCCCTCCCACGCCGCCCCCTCTCTCTCTCTCCCCTCCCACACCCTCTCTCTCTCTCTCTCTCCCCCTTCCCTTGATCCCCCTGCTCCTCTGAGACCCCAATAATCTTCAGTCTCTCTAGCCTACACCTCCTTACCTTCCCCAACCCCCCAACCACCACCTGCCAAATCCATTCCTGCTCTCCTAACCCTCCCCTCCCCCCTCTCCCACCTCCCATCCTACCAACGTCGTCCCCCCAACCCCCAAGCAACTAGCCTAACCGTATCCAACCCCACACAGCTTGTCATATGAAGAGAAAACATGTAAAATTATTATATGTATCTGCTACTCGAGGTCTGACAGCACGAGAACCGGTGTTCTAAGGTGTGGACACACACACACGCACGCATATATACACTTACACACGCACACACACACACACATATGCAGTCGAACGAGTAATTTAACCTTGACTGGACTAGGCTACCACGCACAACGTTCCTGCTAGTCTGCTTGGTCAGTTCCCAACCGCTTTCTCATCCATATCATCAGCTTCGAATCCTCTGTAGCAAGCCTCGTCCAGCCCTTGAAAGATATTTATATATAAAAAACGGTGAGACATTATCCACACACCTGGTGATTGGATATCTGGCGGTAACACTGCTCGGAGAGAAACATCTTAGTTGATATTGTGATCTTGGGTCTGGTCGTGCGGAGGGAGGGAGTTATGTTAATAAAAACTTGTCCAATTCGTATATCTCAAAGAGTTCACCTCTTGAGTTTCCCATGCTCCTCCAAAGCCAACTGTTAGGATTAAGTGTGATTTACACTATTTAGTAATACTTATTTTAGGTTCTTATCCTGTTTTGCCTTTGTTTCCATTTCTCTTATGTCCCCCCCCCCACCTTGAATATATTCGTGTCAACCTAACCTTTTGTCGCTTAAACAACGCTGACCGGGACTTGGTTTTCTTCCTGCGATTGACCTTTAGCGACAATGAAGTCGTGTATTGAACAACTTACCGGTTAACACAACAGACGCCGGCTCGATCTATTGTTTCAAGCGTAGGTTAGACATATATATGAATGAGTTTGGGTGAATATAAATAGTAGCTGCCTGGCATGGGTCAATAGCCCATCCTGGGAGTGGTAGTGGACCCCAATACCCATCCTGGGAGTGGTAGTGGGCCCCAATACCCATCCTGGGAGTGGTAGTGGGCCCCAATACCCATCCTGGGAGTGGTAGTGGGCCCCAATACCCATCCTGGGAGTGGTAGTGGGCCCCAATACCCATCCTGGGAGTGGTAGTGGACCCCAATACCCATCCTGGGAGTGGTAGTGGTCCCCAATATCCATCCTGTGAGTGGTAGTGGACCCTAATACCCATCCTGGGAGTGGTAGTGGGCCCCAATACCCATCCTGTGAGTGGTATTGGACCCCAATACCCATCCTAGGAGTGGTAGTGGGCCCCAATACCCATCCTGGGAGTGGTAGTGGGCCCCAATACCCATCCTGTGAGTGGTAGTGGGCTCCAATACCCATCCTGGGAGTGGTAGTGGGCCCCATACCCATCCTAGGAGTGGTAGTGGACCCCAATACCCATCCTGGGAGTGGTAGTGGGCCCCAATACCCATCCTGTGAGTGGTAGTGGGCCCCAATACCCATCCTGGGAGTGGTAGTGGACCCCATACCCATCCTGGGAGTGGTAGTGGACCCCATACCCATCCTGGGAGTGGTAGTGGACCCCAATACCCATCCTGGGAGTGGTAGTGGACCCCATACCCATCCTGGGAGTGGTAGTGGACCCCAATACCCATCCTGGGAGTGGTATTGGACCCTAATACCCATCCTGGGAGTGGTAGTGGACCCCAATACCCATCCTGGGAGTGGTAGTGGTCCCCAATACCCATCCTGGGAGCTTTTAACATATAAGTTAATGGTAGTTTATATGACAAGAGGTCCGCAGCAGAGCAATTTACAGTGAACAAGTCACACAGTTACTGATCGTGGTCCACACCCACCCAACTGGGCGGCAACTGTGCACGCATTACTCACAGTAAGCAGACTTTGGACATTTGTCTAAGATTTCTGATAGTATATCCTTTTGAATGAAGAACTTACATATTTCTTGAACATTTGTTTTAGTTATCCATGATTTCTGCTAATTTTTTTTTCTATTAAAATATATTGTGTGAGTAAGAAGGATAATTTTCTTTATGTAAATAATATATTAATATTAAGGGAATGATGGGAAAAAGTTTCTTAAACATACCATTAGAAAATAAAGCTTTAGAACTAATAAAATTGAAACAAGCAATGAATTGCAAGAAGAAAATAAAACATTAAATCATCAACCAAGTTTCTCCCAGCATGGCATCAGTACCACTTTTTATATACCTCTCTTGCTAGCCATCTGTCCATTAATTTACATTCAGTAGAGTGCTTCTCTTTAGAATATAATCTCAGTGTTACTATCTAATGTGTCATTAGACAAGTATGATACCCTGAATCAGTCTCACTAAAACACCCACAGTTCAGTAAAATATACACTGAGAGGTAATATTTTTCTTAGTGTAGATGCACTGAAGAGTTAGTACGGGACAGGTTCAGTATTAAAAGGGCTAGCCCATTAGTCAGTTCGTACATGTCATGCGTTTTAATAGCCCTCCTGAGGTTGATAAGAGCTTAAACACAGCACCAAATATCTTGCCTTCTTCAAAGGCTAATATTTTCAACCATTAAATTTCCTCCTGCGCGGAGTGAGGCAAGATTATCAGCTTGAGGAGAGAGGGAGCGTGTTTGCTGCGTCATTGAGTCGTAATTATAAACGTCTTCACTTTGCTTCTTGAGGAAGTTGTGTACTGAAGGAACAGTGTACACTAGACTCATGGCTGTCTGTAGGGGTGTGAGGGGTAACTCTTCTAACTTTGTTGTACCTGTGAGTGTGTAATAGTGTCTTGGAGTGAGGTCTTAAGGCCCCGCCTACTAGCCTTGTACCTGTTGCGTTACACCCTAACTACTCTGACTTTCTAATTCTTTGTTGAATCGGCCCTTCAACTTGTCGATAGAGGTGGGTTCTACACCTTCCTCTTTTAGAGCAGTCCACTTGTTAACTACCCGTACAGGGTTATCTTGAGATGATTTCGGGGCTTTAGTGTCCCCCGCGGCCCGGTCCTCGACCAGGCCTCCACCCCCAGGAAGCAGCCCGTG